CGAATACAAGTATACTTAAAGGATTCCTAATATATTCACAGATGTATTTAATAGTCTCAAACCATAATATTCTTCCTATAAAAACAGTTATTCACTATTTGGTAGAGCCATGTCAACTGTCAAATTTGACACATTTTTCGATGATCTCACCACGTGGCATGCATTGCCTCTCTTTGGATCTCAATATTTTCCCGCCAGATGGCCAAGACCTAGTGTTTTTGCAATATTTCGACACGCAAATGTATGACGTCACCATTTCAACCATCAATGAACGCATGGAACTAAAACAAAGCTTAATATAAAGGAAAAACTAGAGAAGTGACGGAATTACCTACGATGTCGGAATATACCGCATTTACCCTACATTATAAAACTTTGTTATGTGCAAATATTGAAATTAGAAAACATACAGTGCCAGGGTGCCTAGGGTAAACGCGGTATATTCCGACACATTAAGGACGCATCGAGAAATGAAAAACTATAAAAAAAAACGTATGCGTTACGTAAGTTCTGTTGCCTTCACATGACTCTCAAAACACTTCACTACGCGTCAGCAACGATGAAACGTCACAAAATGTTGCCATATTTATTAACAAGCCTTTAGAATGGAAACCTACCAAATCCCTATATTCCGTCACTTTGTGTGGCAACATCCGACACGTGGTGAGTCGTATTACGTCAGCGCTTCAAATTTAACTGATACGTATTGCCGACATCCACGTGTTCGAATTCCGTTTGCTGTGTGAGCTGTATTGGGATACAACACGGCTTTGAATTAGAACACTAACGAATATTGAACACTACTTAATTACGTTTTAATTAACAGCTATTAGGCTTTTTAATTAAGCAAATTTCAATTTTTGTACAAAGCTTTGAACGATCTGTGTGTGTCCAATTCAAGTTGTGTCGGAATTAGTTTTCATGTGTCGAAATCCAACATCTCAACTTAATCATCTACAGCAATCCCTTGATTAACGTGGTTAATAAATCCCCAAGTTTTACCGTGTTATGCGCGCTAATTAAACTTAACAATATATGGGAATAATTATAATGAATCCTCAAAAATAGCAAAGTTACATAATAATTTTTTTCCGCTAAAATTCATCATATTTTTTTTCTAAATAATAGGGGAAATAAATAAAAGAAATGCGAATGAATTAACATATTGTTTCCCGTGCGTATTGTTGACTCGGGAAACCCTAGGTCTTCACCGATCTTCGTTTTCATTTCACCATTATCAAAACGCTTAGTCTCCAAAGTGGTATTTTTACGTTTAAGCGTTCCCTTTTTGTCCATAATTATGACGGTAATTTATCAAGGAAAATTATGTAGTTTGATAAAAATGAGCAGTAGATATGGCAGCGATCTTGACCAGTTGAAGGCTAACGTGTAACTAGAGCACCGGCATGGCGCACTTACCGGCAAACGTTGCCGAACTTGACCATTCGAGTTATGAACGAGACAAGGCGCGGTTAAACCGACTCTGTAGTCAGCACGAGTGCCTACGGAATGGGACCTTACTTAAAGAATTATTGGCTGAAATTCATAAAGTAACAACATTTGGCTGGAAATTTGGTGAATGAGAAATCTTGAACTTTATTTTACTTTTAGTAGAAATTTTCTCCAAAGTCATATGGCAACACTGAACACCGTCTGTTTACATTTCGTATGTATAATAGCCACAGTTTACGATTACCGTACGTTCCGCATCCGACAAGCGGAAGAGTCAGAAGTAACCCGGACATGTTTTACATTTTATTATTGTCAGTTTGACTTGCATAGTCAATATACTCGCGTATATTGTCGACTAAAATGGTAGAACTATTTTAGCTTTCTAAAGTACGGCGCACGGTGCATTTTTTTACCATCATAGTACGGCGCACCACGCAGGTCGTTAAAATGACAAAATAAATTCCCGCGCACCTGGCACATCTTCCTGACCATGGGTCTGACAGTCTGATTGTGCAATATGCAGTCATAGTGATAGCACACTATCAGTATCAATATAATATTTTGTATGGCTAGGCCTAGTTGGGAAAAGTCCTATTTTCTCCTGAAACCTGATATATTGTTGCTCTAATATCATATAATTTCAGCAGGTATAAAATTTTTTAAATCTAATGTTATGCATTTTTGTTAAATTGTTTGATTGAAGAAATCACACTTTTCAAACATGTCATTTCATAAAATTTTCAACTCGTGCAGTACTTAGTAGTAGGGCAAACGCACCATATTCCAACATTGTGGGTAATTCTGTCACTTCTCAACTTTTTCCTTTATATCAAGCTTTGTCTTATTTCCACGCATGCGTAGCCTGGATGGTTGTAATAGTGACATCATACTATTGTGCGCCAGATTTCCATAAAACACTAGGCCTGGCGGGAAAATGTTAAGATCCTCAGAGCAAATGTTCACGTCACCCAGGGAGAACATCGAAAAATGTGTCAAAGTTGTTAGGGTAAATGCAGTCTATTCCAACATCGTGGGTAATTCCGACACTTTGCAACTTTTTCCTTTATATTACGCTCTGTCTTAGATCCACGCATTTGTTGATGGTTGAAATAGTGACGTCATACTATTGCGCACCATACTATTGCCAAAACACTAGGTCTGAGCCATCTGGCAGGAAAATGTTGAGATCCAAAGAGAGACAGTGCACATCACCCAAGGTGCAGAGAGTGCAAGCAGCGTCACCAAGATACAAGTTTTAAGCCCTAAATGTCACCAACATTTTTCAATAACTGTCGCCGTCGCCACCAGAAGTCTTCACGATGTGTCGCCGAGTAATTTTTAATAATGAAGCTGCTAAAAGTTCAAAGAGTATATCCCCCACTCCCCAGGAACTACAGCAGTCAGTATGGCTTCCGCATGATCACATCGCAACCGATTCCGCGATTTGCAGATTGCGCTGCAGCTGTACAGTCTCATCCGACAAACTGGAAAACATATAGTTATCAGTTAGTTAGTAATTCAATTATTTTAAGCAACAAATCAACTTGAGTCAAATAGTTATCTAGAAAATCTCAATGCAATGCATCATAGCGCAAAATATATAGAAACTACTGTTTCTACCGCTAAATGAAGACCAGTTTAGTTTAATGGCCAAATGTCTACAAGCGCTTC